AGAAAAACAAAAATGACGACGCCTCCCGGGGATGCCTCCATGTGACATATATAAATGCACAAACGGTGTGCTATCTCGAGACACCGAGCACGGATTGCAAAGGTAGCGGTTGGGACAGCTCGGGCAAAATGTTACTTGTTGTGCGCAAGTTTTAGTTTGCAATTTGGTGCCGAGATGGTGAAATGGGCTCGAGTCTGCTGGGTATTTAGGGCGTGCAGACACCAGACAGACACCAGACAGCCATGGCTAAATTTTCACGCCCCTGTGCATGAAAATTATTCTTTTTCTCGTGCGCACTCACTCCACCCACGATCCCTCTAAACAGCTTTTTTTTTGCAAAACAAAACAAAAAGCGCACCCCTAACGGGCCACACTTTTTCAAAAAAAAAACTATTAAAAAAAAAAATGCTCTCGACGTGCCGCCCCTCGGTCTGTGCGTGGTAACAATGACTTGACATCGGTGACGCAAAACATTGTCCGCACAGCCAGTACATACATTGTTTTTTCGTCGTTCGGTGATTGTCTCATGTTACATTATCATGGAAAGATGGTGAGGTTTGAGCTGTTTTTAGCTAGGAGGGGGCGTTGACACGGAAGCAAAGACGAGTAATGCCATCATGGCATGTGATGTGTTGTTGGAATAATCACCGGGGTTTTTGACAATGACAATCAAGGCAACGAAGACATACGTGCGATGGTTTACCGAGCGTGTCTTTTGTTTATTGCTGCCGGGCACAGGGTTTATTGATCTTGGTGATAGATATCCAGTTGAGCGAGCTGCCGATGACATCGGCGCTAACGTGCTAACCACCCCTGTGTGGCTCGCCCGCAGGTATCAAACCGTTGAACGGGTGGTGAACGGGACATTCAGCATGCAAAAGGAGTGGATGCTCTCTCGGGGTATGCGATGGGACGAACAAGAGGTGGGTCAACCTACTGATGCTTCAAGACTGGATCAATACGCCAATTGCACACTTCATGAGACGATTGTTTTTGTGTCTCAAAGACTCACAGCAGCCGTTATATGACGTCTGTGCGTTTCACGGCAAGTTCTTGTGTAGCCCAACGCTAGCTGTTCTCTGCCTTCCGTGTCAGCGGTGATGGATTTTATGGGTGCCTCGACGTCGTACCCTTGTTGGCATGATTTTTTTTCCGACATTTATGGAAGCAGTTGAAGGGCTGTGGAGGGACCACTGCCGATCCAACGGCCTTGTCCGTTGTTCTGTGGTTGTCATGGTTGAAGGCTTGCTCGCATCGCTTTTCGTTGGTCGCTCAGGCACAGAGTACGGCACAGGAGATGTATCGGCGAATGTTCGCCTTCAAATTCCTTCCTCCGGGCCGAGGGCTTTGGGCGATGGGCTCCAAGCTGACTACGGAAAGGCGCCTATACGCGGCTCTCAACAACTGCGCATTTGTCAGCACCAGAGGTGGGTCGGAGGTGGCCACTTCCGAGCGCACCGATTGGGTCCCTCGAAAACCGGGGGGGGGGGGGAATCATAGTCGTGCATGCCGTAGTCGTTAGACCATTGACCTCGCATCCCTGCAAAGCCGGGACGGAGCACGCCGGGTTCTCACCGGACCAGGCTCTCACATCACCAAGCGCGAAGCGCCGTGAGATATTCGGCGAGTGTATGAANAACCGCCAAAAAAAAAACGGAGGTAAAACAAACGATAACCAGGTTACCGAGTTCACGAAGTGAATTGGCTTGTTTTACAACGTCGATGCCAAGAGACGAAAACCCAACCCCGATGGTAAACACCGACGGGGGGGGGAGGGGGGCGTACTCTTATGTTTTGCATGCCTTAGCGGCTAAACCATTGACCACGCGTCCTCGAGAGGACGGAGCATTGTTCCCACAGGACCGATCACCGATGGCCAATCGTTCCTTTCTACTTTGCCAAAGGTGGCTCAACAATGTCTTCCCTAGTCTGTCTATCCTAACGATATCCCTTCCCGCCTTTTCAACCCACCTCCTATGCCCCAGTACAGCTACCGTCCTTTCCTCTCTATTCCATGCCTCAAACATCTCCCTGTACGTTCCATCTATTTTTCCCAGCTCAGTCACGTACACTTCCCGCCTCTCCTCGTATAACGGACATTCCGCGACTACATGAACACGGTCTTCGCATTCGAAGCCGCAATCACATTTGAAC